CAGTGTTGATTCACACAGATTCTTATTAACAAGCAATTTCCACGGTGTCAGATGTCAATTTTAGATGATAATAAGTTTCGAGAATCAATGAACTAGCACGTACGGCATCCAGTACTGGTCATCACCTAAAAGGACGTCCCGATCGTTGAATTCGTCGAAACAATCCAACTTCAGCCTCATTCTGACCCCATCTGACCTCATTCCCATTTTGCATCCATGACGGTCATGTATTTGATGAAAAGTATAAAATATGATGAAAATAATGCTCGAGAATATACGAAGCGTCAGGACATGAATTCGCTTTCCAAGCTCTCCATGTCACCAAGCTAACCAACTAGTCCCAAATTATGCGATGTGAGCGTTTTCTTTGCAGGTACTCTTCGATACGGGCTCATCAAATCTATGGGTACCGTGCGCTGATTGTTCGAGGTTCGACCGGGCATGTCAAAATCATAATCAATTTACTTGTTCACTCTCGCAGACTTGCAGAAGAACCAATGAGCAATTCCACATTCAGTATGGCTCGGGTTCGAGTTCGGGACACATTGATAGAGACATCGTTTGTGTACGTTATTGCACTGCATTGTTCCGGTTTCGTTATTATCCCGGAGAGTTTCACTGAAAGAAATTAACACTTTTTCACTAGCTCTCATTGTGATTACTTCAAAATCAACAGTTCGCATTGTGATTTGCCTCCATCTGATCTTGAAAGGACAACACAGAATGGAATTTTAGTTCAATAGTCCGAACAGTGGATATTGCACGGACGCTAACCAGGGATTTGCTTGCGTAACCAGCGAACCTGGCAACACTTTCACGGTATGCATTCTGAGGTTCCAGCACTCATTCTCTTAAAAGAATAGTTCTTCATTCAATTCTTCAGCTAATCATGAAAAATTTGCGAGTAATTTCTGCTTTTTAATTGAATTCAAGCAATTTATCCAATTCAAAACAACCAATTCATCGATTGAATGTTAAAGAATGCTGCATTTGACGGTATCCTGGGTATGGCATGGGACTCAATTGCTCAAGATCACATCGCACAACCGATGGATCAAATTTTCGAACGTCCGGAATGTGCTCAGAAGTTGTTCGCGTTCTATTTGAGCCGAGATGGTACCACAATAAATGGTGGAGAGTTGACGCTATGTGGCATTGATGAAAGCCGCTATACGGTTGCATTTTGTTGTTTAAATTTGTAGACTTACTTCCACTCATATCAGCTAACCTTCGTGGATTGATTGATCTGAATGTTTCATTGAGGGATTCTCATTGCGACCTAACTTGTCAATATTCACCCAAGTAAGGAATTGCAGAAAAAAGTTCAAAATTATATCAGCTCGTCTCATGATTGAGGCTATGATTGAGGTGATAGAGTGAAACGTTACGGATGATTATTCTCCTT